TTTTTCAACATTATGGTGAAAAAAAGCCAACCTGAATTTTCAACATTTAGCCAGGCCCTAAAGTGTAAGTCAAATTAGGCTCAGATCTTGACGGGGGGCCACATGAAATGTTGAAAACAATTTCGCCAACCAAACAGCGTACCCGTACGAAACCCGCACTTTCTGTTCAACATTATGGTGCAAAAATCCAACCTGAATTTTCAACCTTTAGCCCGGCAAACTTATAACATGGACCCGCTGAACATTGTTGGCAGCCGTGCTCCATTTTCTCGCGGAAGGATTTTTTCCGTACTACGGAAAATCTCTTCCTACAGCCAGGAATGTGTTTTTTCATTCCTACGCACCTGCTGGTAGACCCTAAACCCCGAACCCTGAACCCAAACTCCTAAGTCCGAAAAAAGAAATCCTAAGCCCTAAGCCCTGAACTCAAAGTTGATGACCCGCTTCGGCCATATGCTGGCAGTATCCCTCCCCGAGAATTTAAGTATCTAAATACGGTGTGGAAATCGGGGTTGAAGGTTTAGAGTTTAGGCTTGAAAACATATTGCGGTTTAGGGTTTAGGCTGTAGGGTTATCTATCTAGAAGAGATTCCTGTAAAACGCTACGTTAGACGGCACTGAACCTTTCGCCTTCTTGTGAGAACGCCAAAAATCATACAGTCCAATATAATACATTCCCTTATTCTCTACTAACCCGCTATAAGTTAAGCATGCTATACGACCATGCTTCCTAAGGCTTAGGTAGCAAAAGGTTGTGCAGGATTTTGTCCATCAACCGCAGGTCCTCAACGAGGAAATCCACGAGGTAGGGTTCGGAAGGTTTAAACTGAGAGAAGAAGACGAGGCCATAGAGCCTTCAGAAGACTGGTGCACAGTGCTTTCTGGGTGGGTGAACCTAACAAGACTAGACAATTTTTCCCCTACACAATGCCTGGAACGAAATGTAAGCTTACCTACATTATCCCAGCCTGTAGTAACCCTAATTTAATCAGTGCGGTGGCTCGCTTGGGTTGCGGGCTTAGGTCTACAGAGGTGTAGGAAACTTAGCCCCCAAAAATCCCCTGTTGACTAAGGTGTAGGGAACTTAGCCCTAAGAAGCCCCCGTCGGCAGTTTGCGCAAGCTGTTTTTGGGTCGTTGGATTTTCTTTGCTTTTTTCCCTAAGAGTCCAAGTCATATTCTTACCCAAAGCCTGTGTATACAATAAACTACCCAAACTCTAAACCCTAAACCCTAAACACCTCATTACTGAATAGTCAGACCCTCTGGGTTTTGCTCCGTGATGATTGTCCATCATGGGCTCAGATCCCGAAAGGCGGGGAGTGAACGAGGTTTTTAGGGTTTGGGGGTTTGGGTGGTTTAGGATTTAGTGGACTGTGGTGACTCCAGGAGAGCCGTGTGTCTTGGTGGTTGAACCAAGGAAAATCAGATTCTCTTATGAAACCCTACGGGTCCAAGAACCCAAAGAATGAGGGTTTAGGGGCTCAACTACTATAATGTTCATGGTATTTGGGCCTAAAACCTATCATTTGAATCCTTGGACCCTTAGCGAAACGCCATACCCAAAAACAGAATACACTCTTGCTCTCTACTGGGGTCTACAGTTTCGCCATTGGAAGCACTAGTAGCTTGGGCACACAGACTGCAGAAAACCCAATTGTCCTTTTACAAGCACTACATGAGGTTTTGGATCATGGTATGATGGTACATACTCACAAGGAACTGGTTCTGATTGATTCTTAAGCGCCTTTGATGATATACCAGTCTACGGCACCGTAAACCCTCACCTCGTGTAGGTTTAAGGTGCCCTATACAAGCCAGTGTAGGATGAATTCCAAGTCATTTTGAAACCTTTTTTACGGGCTAAGTATACTCAACAAAGGCCTCTTTAACTGTTGGTCAATCTCTGAGCTGGCGAACTGGCAAATTAGAGAAAGACGGTCACGCTTAGAGGGTACAGGGTGTACAGTTTAGGGGTACAGGATTTAGGGGCTTAGGATTTAGGTTTTACCTGAACCCCAAAAGCATGTAAAACAATAGCCCTAAACCATCCTAAACCCATAATAACAGCCATAAAGGCAATTAGTTTGGATACTTTGGGGGGTCAGGTAGGGCTATGTCTGCAGAAGCCTGAAGAAGTCTGCGCAAATGCACCTGAAAAACTCACAGCATTACGGCCAGCCCCAAATCACGCAACTAATATGAGCAAGCTTGCAATGAACTACATGTGAACAAGTATGTGGCCAGAAGTGATGGAACTTCTCTGTATTTTCCACATGCTTATGAAGAAGAGCACGCGCAGGCTGCTAATCCCTGCCCTTGCCAGCACCACCCTCCACTGGTTGGTAAACGGCTTAACAATTACGTTATGTGTGCGGGAATGTTCGCAAAGGATGTCCCCTCATCCACGCTAAGTTAGCCAAGCCCTCATGCTCGCTGAGAGGTCTAGGGCTCAGGTCCACAATAGGATTTCTGCATTAACGGGAAGGGGCATCCAGACCTTAACCCTAAACCCTATTCAAGCTAAAGGCCTTTGAGCGTGACCCTCCGCGACCCCTGAGCCGGAACTCCTGCGACCTCAAGCCAGAACGCGACCCAGAACCCATGAGCTATGAATACGAAACTCTACAAGCACTGCCTGCAGTAACCTAGAACCTTTAGGCACATTAAAGATATACAGAGGCACGCCACCCTTTTGCGGTTGCATTAGCTACTCTGTAAGAAGCTTAAACCCACAGCGCAAAAAACAAACTACGTCCTCAATCCTCTGCCTGAAGACAAACAATACACTCCTACTTGGAGGCTGAGATATTATAGCCCTGCTATAATTAACAGCAAACCCAACTGGATACATCCTTAGTTGTAGCAGTCTGAACCTGCAACAAAACTGCCTGAAAACCGTTTCTAGCCATAAAGCCCCCCTTAAGTAGATAGAATATGGGGTATATGGGGATCCTAATACAGTATACGCAAAGCAATATTCTATCTACTTAAGGGGGACGATATCCTGCTGCTATGTTCAGGCCTCAGGCCGTTGGCGCCAACCTACTTCCACTTTGCTACTTCCCCGGCTCAGTGTCGATTTGTCTATCACCTCTAAGCATCTGGAGTCAGAGTCCAAAGACTAATTGCTCTAAACCCTAACCCTGAATCCTAAGCCCTAACTCTGAACCTTAAACTCTGAACCCTCAGCCCTGAATCACGAAGTACTCCTTAGGCCACAACCATAACAGCCCGTGAGTGTCTGACCTGCTCATGGCATGGCCTACTTACTTTAGGGATTCGGGTTTAGGGTGCAAGAAAAGGTCTGACTCATGACTTGTGCTACTGTGGATGAAGCGAATCTTGCACCAGTCAGGATCCCCAAAATACTGAAAGTATTTGGAGGGTATAGGCTATATTAGGCGGTGCAAGATTCCCTCCATCCCCGGTGACGTTTGGGGTTCAGGGTCAGGGGTTAGGGTATACAAATTGACGAAAGCTCACTTAC